TGCTGTGTAGCTTGCTCGTACTCCTTGAGAAGTTGTTCTGCAGTATCGGTAACACCTACAAAAACACCAAAAGGATTAAACTGTCAATACATCTACAAAGAAGAAGTTTCATACTCCGTCGAGTTGCACTGAATACCAAGACTGGTTTATTTGCTGCATGCTGTTGAAGAATGGCATAGAGCTTATAGTCCAAACTCTTCAAGAACTGGAAGTCATTTTGATTTTGACGACGAGGGACACCATAAACGAACTTCGATAATTTGCACGGTCGATACTCTTCTCCGAACTGTAAAACCGAATGTAGTTAGTCCCCTCTAATATGAACTTTTGAAGAAAATGATAAGAATATGCACTTCTTTCACTGTTGCTGATCCTCCATTTCGAACCCCACCAATCCATCCAGCGACGTCATGGATATTTGGAACGGTCGCTGAAACAAACACCAAACGCACACACTTTCCCCTAGTCTTCATTCGTGAGACGACAACTTCTAGTGTACTTCCTCTAGTTTCGTTCAGGATGTGGACTTCATCCACGAGAAAGAGACCAATTTCTGACAGAAGTTTATCATGTTCATCCCTGCAACGAAAACATCGAATATGATCCCATAGAGTCACCAGAGGTAGCTGAGTATTGCTTACCAATTTCTCGTAAGGCTATCCCATTTTTCTCCAGTAGTAACACTGGTGGAATATGTGAGCAATGATTAATGATTTCTAGCGTCCTCCTCGAAAAGTGTCTCACATGATAGTCGCATCCTTTGCATCTGCCCAAGCACTTGTACCAAAATGAACGGTGTCTCCAGTCATCTCACAGCCTGTGGAATATCTGAGTAAGTGAAACCGTACAAGCGAAATATTGGCATTCTCGCACATTTTATCCCTAGAGGCTGAAATTTAGTTGCCCAATCACGATATTTTTCTGAGCAGAGTGCCTACGTATAGAGTATGAGATAAAATCAATGATGGTAAGCGCATATAGTCACCTTGGTTGGAGCGACATATATACATTTTGTCGTCCTGCTTCCTCCGGTCTGAGTAAGTACACGGATTATTGCAAGTTCAAACAACACCGTTTTCCCGCTTCCCGTTGGTGCTGAATGGAAGTGTCGATTATAATATCAAGGCGCACAATCATTAAATGCTTACCACTAACGACCTGTAAAAAAAGCTCAGTTGATCAGAAGTATCACGCGACAACACAATATGCTATACCATATTCTCATTGCTATGCATTATCTATCGCGACATAATTGAGCATCAACGCTAAGTATATGGATGTTGTGACACGCACCGTATCGAAACAAGCAGATTGTACCGCATTGAACACACCAAACTTGAATAACCCTCTGTATATATCGGCTAAAGGAAGGAAAACATGAAGTAAAATGTACTGATACAACAGTAGTTCATACGCACGAAGATCAGTTACAGGACGCAGACGAATACCATGGGAATTTCGGGGATTCGAGCCTCTCTCGTTCCCGGGAGAGGTTGCTGAGGACTCGAGTTCTGTGATGATTTTGCGAGCAGACTGATGAGAGGAGGCTTGAGGAAATGGCTGTAAAAGTGGTATAGGCTGAGATTGAGTGGAAGTCATGAAAGTTCTCTGAGTATATGGTTGCTGTCGCTGGGTACCAAATGAGCCCGTGGGTTGTTGTTGTTGCTGGAAGCGAGTCATGTTTTGTGGCTGATTGCGTGGAAAGACTGGAGATATCTGATATTGTGGAGAAGGGGACATATCTTCATAGTCATATTTCTGAGACGAGATACTTCGAGACAGTGGTTGGTATGTGTGGGACAGCAATTCGGAGCGAGCAGATTGATTGTGTCGTCCGGCAGGACATGGCGACGAGTATGGTTCTACGACGATTTATATACGCATACACTCGAATAGACCGCATATAATCACATACCGTCATAATCATCATATTGCTCATGTATGGAATCGTCGTTGTAGAAAGTAGACTGCCTGTTCAGAAGAGGGAGTGAAATCCCGGAGTCCTCGTAATAGTCTTCATCTAGATCATATTCGTCTGTTTCGAAACCGTCTTTTCGTCGAAAATGTGACGATCTTCTATCTTGATACATGAGACGGTAATAGTGAAAGTTAGAGTCGAAAGACGCAAGGAATTTGGCGTTTGCCACGGGCGCCTACATATAAGCGCAGAATAAAACACGTTGATGGATGAGGTCATGTGACTGGTGATATAGGTCACCTATTGTGACCACACGGGAACGTGACGGTTAGGCGCGGCGAGAACGAGGCTACTGCTAATAGACTATTTCCACTTTCTCTTTCTACCTCGATAACTTATCACCGCCTCTCGTACCCTTGCCGTTCCCATTACCACTCGCTGAATCTCACTACGCAATAATCATAAAATAATGAGCCAGAAGGAGAAAGTAGATGCCGCAAAGTTGGAAGAATGGATAGAGAAGTTGGCTCGTCGTTTATCACTTTACAGATTCACTTCTAAACTCACGCGATGCATTGATTTTTATAGGATCCACTATTCCGAACGATACTCGGATGATGAGTACGAATATCGACATGTCATTTTACCTAAGCCTCTCTTCAAGATGATCCCGAAACAATTCTTCAATCCTGATAACACAGGGACTCTACGCCTCTTGACCGAAAACGAATGGCGCGGTATCGGCATTACCCAAAGTTTGGGATGGGAGCATTATGAGGTCCATGGTAAGCAGAACATTAACTTGAGTGTCTAATTTTCTCACATTCCTTGTAGCACCCGAACCACATGTATTACTCTTCAGACGTCGCAAGGATTTCGACGAGCAACTTCGACTTCAGAATCAGCAGCTGCAACAACAACAGCAAATGCGCGCAGCGAGCGGGAAATATGCGAGGAAGAAGTGACGTGATATTTTATTGTCTTGTTAAGACCACTACTTTTCTCCGGTGTTTCTTTAAGGTTTCCTCTGTATTCTTTCTTTCTCTTCAGCTTTTTATGCTTGGCTCTTGACTGTATCTTCCTTCCTCTCTTTTCAATTATTCCCTCCCCGATGGACACACTCTACACATCATACTGTATACCACCCTCTCTCCGATCCACGCTCTGTTGTGTTTTGCAACCTGATACTCGCTGTCGTTGTTATCATCTTTACATTACTTATATGTTCTGAATCATGGCATGGGTAGAAGTTTGCTATCGATGGGACTCATTTCATTGTCAGCCTTTCCGTGTACGAAGACGCTATGGATCGATTAGTGAGAGGATGATCATACCATTAAACAAAATATAGTGTATAGATGGAACAGATTGCACCTAAGCAGATTTTGTCTCCTCCGTGTTCACAGCTGTTCGTTCCGAAGGAGGTTCCACGAAGACCCTCAATACACCTCTGAACCTCTCGTCCCATTCAACATCTTTCTCAGGCTTAATAACATCCCATCCTTGCTCGTCATTTCTCCACCTGAGCTCCTTCTTTATCCTCTCTGCTCTCAACTCGACCTCGGTAGGAGGAGGGTAACTCTGCTCCTCTTTCGTAGGCTCTCTGGTACCTCTAGCCAATGACCGTGCCACTTCAAGTTTTCCGGGAAGACTCTTGTAATACTCTTCCCTCGCTTTCTGGATATCTGAAGCGAAAGAGTTGACAAGAGATTGCTTGTAGTAAGATTCGGCTTCTCCTCCAAACTCCAAATCCGTAGGAATCATTTTAAGTTCTGAAGGATGAGGTTGAGATGGTGATGTCGTTACGTCAAAGTCAGGATCTAAAGTAGGCAATGCAGGCGGAGGTGCGATGAACGGGCGAGTTTCTCCCATAACGAGTTTATAAGCTGCTTCGGCACCCGAACGAACTTTATGACGTTCATTGAAGAATTCATAAATCATGTGAGGAATTTGACCAAGACCGATATGGTTGATGAATTGAACGAGTAGGATAGGTGGCATAGGAGGGATAGATGCAGGTGGAGTGTTCAAATGGGTAGGAATAACATTAGCTGGGGATGGGGGAGGAGGAGCACGTAATTGAGGGGCAGTGAATGGAGAGAAAGCTTTTGACGGTGGAAGTTTTGACTTTGTAGGAATAGGTTCACCGTCGAGGGCATCCACATCCACAGACGTATCTTCCTCAGCGGGTTCATCAAATGTTCCATCGGAAGAAAGCTCGTTGGAAAGCTGTTCTTCCTTGTCCACCTTTTCTAATCCTTCAGTCCAACCCCGCTTGAGGCCAGACATAAACTCCTTGAAAGTAGGGCGACCAATGATGACAATGCCTCCTTCCAACTCGCGACGACGTTTAGCTTCTACAGTTTGGTTAGGAAGCAACATCGATCCTGGAGGTGCTTGTTCCAAACCAGCTTCAATCCTACGTCTCGTCTTGATGTCTTCCGCAATCTTATTAGCAAGGTCTCCGTATCGTCTACCGCTAATGATTTCATAGTCTATAGCGGCAGCAACAAAAATGGGCTACATTTAACGAATTGAGATGACATATATTCTTTCATAAAGGTAGGGGGAAATTGCGAACCTTGACATACTTCTTGAAGTACCTAACACTTCTCAAAGAATCTTCATCCGCTGGCCATTTTGTCCCATAGACTGTGACTTTTCTGGGATAATCCAAGCTATGCAAAGGAACATCTGCAAGATGCTTCACCTTGTCTACGTATTCTTGCCGAATCTTTTTGCATTCCCGGTGGTCATAATAATACCAGCCGAGTATGCTCGAAGTGACAGACAGAAAAATAAGCCAGTTTCGTGAAGGAAGTTTAGGTCGTTTGTCTAGCCATGAGGGAGGAATTCCAGTGTATTGAAGTACAGTTTTTACGCCCGACTGTGGAGGTTTTAATGTAGGAAAGTTGCTATCCCCGCCATTCGAGCTCATCGCCAGCTCGCAGAGGAAAGAGAGAAGGTGGAATTCGATTAAGCGCTCTCTTTGGACGTCGTTTCAACTTAGGCGCCTGTCCCCTTTCGAGCTATTCAGGATGAATTACGACCCCGTTTAAATTATAACTCGTCTCTTTAGCATGGGTCGGTGGCGTAGTTGGTTATCGCATCTGTCTTACATAATGTGTGTTCACAGAAGGTCCCCAGTTCGAGCCTGGGTCGACTCATCCTTTTTCTTTAGACTTAGCTTTCCAACATCAAATTCAAAATTTTAGCGCCTGAAATCGATACATGTATTGCGGAAAGGTGTGTGCGCACTGTGGAGCACAATTTCTGTCTGGATATCACGACATATATGTGTGCTTGGAGTCACTTGGAGTCACTGGGAGTCAGGAACCGTTGCGAGACTCAACCATAATAACCTGCTATGGAGCTTGAAGCCCCGAAGCCTCGCTTTGTACCACACTCTCACACGCGACCGGACGTCATTGAACACAGGGAGTACTAACTTGTAAACGAGAATTGAGCAGCAAATACAAGAATAATATACACAGGAAACTCCAAGGCTAAACGACACAAATTACAGACCGGAATTGATAATTAACGCTTCATGCTCCTTCGACCTTGGCCGGATGTCTCTAGCAAAAGGCTTAGGGAATCTATATAGCAACAAATACAAAGCATCAGTAGCTAGGTCGAATAATCACATTCACAAAAGTCACTTACGCGATTAGACCATGACCATACTCCGCTGAAGGAACAATATCCACGCCATTTGCATCTTTAGGACAACGCATATCGAAGACAGCTAACATAGTAGCGGCCGTGATCCAAAGAGTATCTTTCACCAAAAATCTTCCGGGACAGATACGCTTTCCAAATCCAAAGACGAATGATGCTGGATCGACGATGTTAGGGTCGAGTTCAAATTGACTGTCACCGAGTGTGGGATTGGTCGTTCGTTTGAGGAAACGTTCAGGGTCGAACGTAGAAACGGGTATTGAGGTTCCGTACGTCTTTTCGTCCCGAGACATTGTCCTACATGATTAATTATTGAGTTACTGTGAGCATCAGGAAACGGTAAAGACCTACCAAGAGTTAGAGATGATTATAGATCCCTTCGGTATGCAATACCCTTTGTAAATATCCGCTTCAGTAAGTCGGTGAGGAAGATCTATGGGATGTTGAAGGTAAATATCTTGATTGTAGACGGTTCGAACTTGTCAGGGAGAACGGGACATACTAGTTGGAACAGCCGGTCTCCATCTAAAAACTTCCAAAATGAGGCCTTCCAAATAACCTCCAATCGCTTCCCTATCAGCGAAAGTGGGGAGGCGAGATGGGGGATTTCCGATTACTCTATCGATCTCTGCTTGAGCTTTCTTCTGAATCTCCGGGTATAGCAACATTGCTAATACGAAGGTTTGTGTCGTCGCCACGGTCTATGATATACCAGTTGGCAGTGAGAGGAAGGTTTGGGGGGTTGGAAACATGAAAGTAGAGCTTACCGTGTCTGCGCCAGCTACAAGTTACGTAGATGAATTATTAACACCTACGAAGAGATTAAGAATAAAATCTTACCGGCATACATAGATCCAAGAGTGCATCTTGCGATGTATTCAGTATACTCTGGATTCTTGGAGTCTTCGACGGCTTCAAGGACTGAAGAACCGACACAATCTGATGCCATTTTCCCTTGTTTCTAATATGTGATAGGATTTTTACGATGTGAAGTGCAATCAGAATGCGTAGAGACAGTGACGTACTACGAGATCAAGCATGTGGTTGTAAGCCTCATTACGCAAATCGTATCCCTGCTCTCTCCAGATAGCAGCTTGTCGCCGAAAGTTGGCACCAGGGAACCACGCAGGAATATATTTCACTATACGACGGCCCGGGCGCAAAGTATCAACATCTCGGGCTACCTGACATCAACGGTGTGAACTCACAAGCTGGGAATATGTCAACGAGGTATGAACCTGCATTCGTGGCAGCAGACACCCCTTCCATGACGTTTTCTCCGATACGAATATATGGATCGTCGTAGGGCAGAACGTCAAATCCGTAAGCGACTCGAATGATAGTTCGGCCCGCCATACTGCCGAAGATGATACCACCATAAGTTTTTAAGACTTGACGTGTAACGCTCATAAGAATGATATACGTACTGACGAGTGTCTATATCGAAGTTATCGGGGTTTGCAAGCATCCGTCTGACTAAATCCTGAACACCTTCTGTCTCTGCCAGTTGGTAATTCTTGATAGCTTGCAAACTGAATGCTTGGTGCGCCAATTTACGACCCTCTTTCCATGTTTGATTGGACTTGATGAATCCGAGAGTCCAAGCAAAGTCCATCCTATGGAAGATGGTAGGTGAGAGATTGCATGAAACCGATGCGTGGCCGACTTACAACTCGGAAAGCATAGGTAGTGTAGGCCTGTGTATGAAATAAAATCTATCAGTGCCCGTGAATGGAAGTCAGGAGACGGTGACAATTATGACCTGTCGTTATACAACGCTGATCTTCTGTCCATAAGATCAACCGCAGTTTCTCTGTCGTTTACTATGATGAGATGGGTCCCAAGTGCCTTCAGATGAATCAACGGAGATTCTACAGGTCCCAAAATTGTTAGCGTGACGTGTGAAGCAATCAACCAATATAAAACGTACCATATTGCTTTCCCCACTGCTGGTATTTTAGGAAGACGGTATCATCCTGGATGTCGAGTGCGTTGCCAAGAATTGGGAGTCCAGGTGGGCCAGGTGGGTAAGGGATAGAGCGACTCTTCCTCCATCGGTATATGAGGAGGAGAGTGAGAAGACAGGCTGCGATGTCAACGTAAGATAACGGCATAGTAGCAAGGGAGGATCAGGTAAATCTCCACAAGCAGAGTTTTCACTTTATATGTTTTGAACTCATGGGCGTTACTTATGAATTCATAGGCGAGATCGAGAAGGTGGGTGTGTTCTAACGCATTCGGACAGGCACACGTAAACGAAGATTCTCTTGACCTGAATCTGCCAACCAAACATGGAACGAGCTAACATTCAGTAACTTCACCTTGGTCAACAAATTTCTGGAATGGAAAGGCAAAGCGAAACTCACGGCTGGTTAAACGACCGATTCGGATTGGCGGTGTGCTGAAAATACTAACATACCAACTATGGGACTGCTGAAGTATAATCAATCTTACCTTTTAACCTCCGATGTTAGGAAGACTTGTCCATTTTGGAGTAGTGGGTGTAATCCGTTCATAACCGAGCTTTAAGAAACGCTTATTTGGCAAGCTGAAAAGTTGGACAAAGAAAAGTCCATGTTGGATAATTTCGGAGCTTTGGCGGGATCAAAAGAAGAACTGTTGGGAAAACTGGAGCAACCTGTTCCTCGCCAATTCGGATACAATGCCAGCGTAATCAATAAGTGTACTCGTCATTCTGTGGTGCAGTTAGCTGACCAGTGAATAATGGCAATGAACAGGCTTGATCCAAGCATAGCTGATATCATCGTAAGTATAATTTAATAACCGATAAAAGGACTTGACAAAACCAGAGTGTACTCTAAATCGACATCTGAACCATGACAAACGATAGGCAGATGTGAAACACTGTTGGTCAATAACGCGGACTTGCCTTCGATGATACGAGCTAGCGACTACGGGACAACGACCAGAAGGCTGCCAGGAGAAACAGAACTACTTTCGTTGCAATGTAGAAGAATTTACGGTAATATTTGGCACCCACTTATTGTTGAAGTAGGAAATACGATACACTCGCTATTGTATTGACATTTGCCATAGCATTTTCACTGTGAGGAGGATGATAGTCGGGATAAAGACTCGGAGAACGAGCCCGTACATGCTGTAGCAGTACCCCGGGTACCGTAGCACCGATAACACGTTCAAGTCACAAGTCACACTTACATCCCAATCATTCACTCGCGACACGTTGACATCTCTTCTTCATCACTCCTCCCACCCCACAATCAAACTCTACCACGAAACGGTGGACAACGAGGAGCCCAGGTTGCAATCGGAAATCCTACATCTTCCACAGTCACCCGTCTGGGAGTTTCAGCAACTTTCAGCTTCGAATTGCCTCCAACCACATTTAGTTTCAACTCAACGGCGTATGGTTTTATTGATTCTCATCCATTGTGCCACAGACTAGCGTGCATAACTCGCAGATTACCGGGCATCCCATTAATCTTTCATAAGTACTCGATCCTCTGGATGCGGTTATTATTTTGTCAAAGGTTGACACCTTTTTTGAATCCTCTCAGGCTTTGTACTATTTGATATCTCGCTGTCTTTGGGGATGGGGATACAGGTAGGAGAAATGTCGCATCTTTTGTTTGAGCTCCCAATCTTAGATTTTATCCTTTGAAACCGTCAGTTTTGATTTCGACCAGCAGCAAACAAAATCAGAAGTCAACCAAATTCCTGCTTCTCCTCGGCTAGATCAATGCTACACTGTGTAAGGGCGACGACATCGCATACAGTGGTGGACAACGGTGTAATCTTTGTGCTGCGATAGGAAGCGCAGTATCCTTATTCACCTGCTAGGTTGATGCTCCGAGTCCGTCACTGTCCAGAATATCAAGTGTTCTCTATCAATATTGAATCTTGAACTACTATCTTTTGAATTAGGAGCCGCATTGCACTATGCAACGGACGGATACCAAACGGCTTTTTTTGGAATCAAGTAGAATCGATGTGCACTGCTTCTGTCGAGAAACGTCAACCGACATACTTGTCCCTTTCATTTAGAAGTTAGGACGGCTCTATCCATCCGTTTATCGGGCTAGTAGGTTCTGGAGGGAAATGAACCACTAGGAGTGTTCCGAAAAGGCATTGCGGATGACTCTGGAATTCCAAGTGAGTCGCCTTTTTCCTAATCAGACTGCTCAAAATGTGCTCAGAACTTGTCCAACTTACTGAAGGCGGCCGTTGATACTCACTGTCGCAAGCCGACTATGGTTATGAGATTCTGTGCGATTCGCATTTTTTGGTACGACCTCTCGGATGTTTTCAACACTTGGCAGGATCCATAAAAACATCTGAACGCCTCTGCAAGAGCTCGAGCCTGAAAAATGGTTGTTTACTATTAGCACCGCATGTTTATGTTAGGATAATAATTTAACATGCAGGAAGATATTATGGTATGCTAGGCCTACCGTGTACAAGAGTGAATATTGTGGATTAGATATAATACACGACCTTCGAGTCT